CGGCGTTACACGTCCGGGAGTCTGGTGATACAGCGGGTACGGGTTCTTGCCGGTTGTCGAGGGGCGGGCATTTGACACCGTCGGAAGGTACCGCGGGGAAGGTCGGGGCTCGTGCTGTAGAGTATGACCGGCGTCCGGCGCTAGGAATAAGTTAGCGGCTCTCTGTGCGAGTACCGAGGGTACCGAGTAGAGCGGAGGAGCGAAGCTCCGGAAAGTGCTTGTAATTGCGTCACTAATGTAATGTATCATATTTACTTGATCACATTCCTTCAGATATAATTGTTCTTATTATTACGCTCTCGCGTAATATTCCTGTGGCCTATCTCTCTCGCCCTCCGACAACATTCCCACACCTCTTGTGACCCACTCCCTGCCGTCGCGAATCGATTACAGGCAAAAGAGAGGAGATTTCGGAAAGAGTAGCACGCTCTCTCGTGCCTGGCGCCCAACTTAGTAATAAGAATTACAATTTTGGCCGAAAAACCGCCTGGCTGTCGCAAAATTCTGCTACCGAGGGAGAGAAGATACTTTTGCGTACTTTTGAGTACCAAGAACGCGCGACGAAGTTGTGCCGTTGCTCGCGAGTACGGTTACAAGTTTTATTATTTTACAGTAATATGAACAAGAATTTTTTTACAGTAACATAAATGTATAAGAAATAAAAAAAATAAAAGTTTGTGTAACTGCCAATTAATGCAAGGCAAGATTATTTGAGACTACTTAGGACGACTATTACCAACGCTGATTAACTTAATCGATGATTAACTCAATCAGCAGTAAAGCAAATAGTAAGTCTGTATCGTTCTTATCATCTTCGTGATATCCCAGCAAACACAAAGTTACATGTACGTACTCGTTAGTTGTAATTTCCCACTCAACAATATAACAGCAATAAACCCACGTGTTATATTATAGTTATATTGTTAAGTGGGAAATTACAACTAACGGGTACGTTACATGTAACTTTGTGTTAGCTGGGATACTTCCATTTCTACGTTCCTATTTAACTGTGATAACTTCTGTCTATAATAGGATGACTGCTGATTGAGTTAATTGGCGTTGGTAACGGTCGCCCTTAGAATACTATAAACGTAGTATAATTATTATATGAATGTACGAGGGTTGTCAGAAAAGTTTTGAGCCTAACATAGAAACAAATAATTTTTCGGTCAAATTCAATTTTATTTTCCACATAGTCTCCTTTTAAGTCGA